ATGAAGAAAAGTGTCATAATTTGAATCCACAACTCATTTTTTACAAATTCAATCGAATATTGTAATCACCTGTGTTAATTTTATTAATTTTCAAAACTATTTAATATAACAAGAGTCAAATAAACTTGTTACTTCATGGAAACACAGGTAAGCTGTGGGAGTAACTATGATGTTTTATGGGCAAAATCACTACAAATATCGTATATTTTTACAGCAATGGTGGTTGTAACGTTTTGTTTGGAGTTAAAAAGGGCCATAAGAGTAAATTTTAGTAAAAGTTGCTCAAGTGGTATGTAATAAATCCAATTTACCGTTATTTTATGGTTTTTTGGGGAAAAGACAATTAAAAATAATTTAAAATGAAAAACCCCCTGGAGATACTACAAATTATAGTACCCAACACAAGTACCAAGTTTCTCTGTACACATTCACACACACCCACATCACTTTGAAACAGGCTCAGGGGAACCCAAAACGGATATTTTCACCCAATACTCGAACCCGGAAATTTTGACAAAAACTATACTTTGACCTCATATAATTGGGGGAAAAGTTAAAACAAATATGGGTTTTCAGAAATCACCAAAATCAAAATGACAGCCCAAAGTAGGGCATGCACAGCATTATTGATTTGACCCATAGCACCCACGTGCTAGTAGAGGGGGGGGGGGTAAGTACTAAGTGACCTAGGCCTAGTGGGCCTAACTGAGCTCACCCCAACTACTCCCCCTACTGGGGTTATCAGCTGATCATTGTAGAACTTGGGATCTGCAAAAACTATCATCATCCACTCCACTTATTGAATCGTTGGTTTATAACAGTTTAAGATTATTTTGTAATGGTTTTACTTCATTTATACAGATTGAAAAGTTAATTTGGTCCATAACTGTCATTTAAAATTATGCCAGGGGTTTACGTTTGAAATGTCATTTTTTAAGAAGACAGTATTAATTCTAAAAATGTGTGTTAAAATTATTGTAGTAAATTGATAATGATAAAAAAGTTTAATCTTCAATATCAAAATAAGTCAATATGACAATAATGAGGCATCTTAAGTTCTAATACCAAAGTTTAAAAACAACTTCCAATGTTCAAAATTAGTCTTAAATTTAGAACTTACATGTAGGTTTAGAAGTTTAGAATAACTGATAGCTTATTGTCACCAAATTTTACAAACCTCCATAAATATGTTAGTTTATGTCTACATTGAACTAAACTAGGTAATAATAACTTGAGTAATTTTTGTCCGATTTTGATGAAATTTTGTTTAAAGGTGTAAGGCGGCATAAACTTGAATGAGTTCGCGAACCAGCATGATTGGACCATGGGAACGGGGTTTTATGGGGTAAAAATGGTTTTTCTCATTGTTGACCCTCAAAAAACAAAAAAAATCTTAATTTCCCTCTAGACCATTTTAAAGAGCTTAAAAAATGATTATTTAGTTTATAAACGTTTTATTGTATAGTTATTAGTAACGGAGAAAATTAAAAAAAAATTATATATTACTTTGTTATTCTTATGGAGAATATTGTAAAATGTTGTAGTTTGCTTGTTTATGGATATATTTTTATCAAACTTGGCAAATTTATTTGTTATATACTAAGCTATTAATATTTTACTAAAAAATACACTTTATTAGTTTCCTTGTTGCAGCAAAGGTATTAGGGGGTACTCATTTACCCTAATGTTATTTAAATAGATTTAATTGAAAATCAATTCAGACAAATGGAAATTTGCTTTAGTCGCTGGTTTGCTGTGGTGGGGGTATTATACAATATATTTAACTTGTGAGTTTACATTATAAGTGTAAATATATGTTTTAAGTGTTATTAGACGTATCTTTTATTTACTTTTCAGTGAAATTGAATAAGCTAATGCATTGAATTTAGAAATGAGAAATAATCATGCAAAAAACCACCACTGAGGGATGAGCCATTACAGTATAAACAGATGGTAATGCAGTGTCTATGACAATGTCAATGTGACAGTAATGCCAAGTGCCAACCTAGATATGTCAGTGTTCAGTACTACCAACCACTGAACATTAACCCCCAACATTCATCTACAGTACAAAAGCGCACATTATCATAAATACAATACATCAGTTGGTGCAACTGCCTGTTCTAATAACTGCCTTGCTTAAACATTCTATCTTTTATATAACAATAGATAAAATTAGGTTTTAGCCTCTTAAATTTGTTTGGTTGTTAAATTACTAGGGGCCAACAACATTTCTCAGTTACATCCCTTTTTCAGTAACTTTAATTCACCGATTTTTCCGATTGTGGTATCATTTTAAAGCTTATGATACAGCAGAGTGACAGATGGTAACTAGAAAATAAAATGTAAGACATAAGAATCAATTTATGCACTGTAATTTTGTAGTTAATTCACCTAATAACTATCTCCATGAAAACATAGTATTTGAAAGGCAAAGTCTATTGCATTGGATTAGATTTGTCTTGGAAATAAGTATTGAACCCTATTAAATAGCGCAGTTTGCACATGGGTGACATCTTATTACTTATACTCACACTCTAAACACAAACATACCTGTGTATTTCAAATTGCCTGCCTCAGGTAACTTGACTTGAAATACACTGAGGCAAGTAACCTATCTGAATACCTCACGTAAACGGAAACTCGGCTTTAGGTCTTAGTTAGTCCTATAAAACTTAGTGGTATTTTAGAACGCAACGTAGTTGTACATTTTCTAATGAAGGAACTCATTTAGGTCGAAAAAACATTAGAATATACGAGGTCATTTAGAAAAATAACAATATTTTTTTAATTTGCAGAATAGGAGAGTCTGATGGTCAAACTTATTTATTATGTTGCTGTACATCCCTCAAATGTGAAAAAACTTTCGGCTGTTTTTATTCAATTCAATTATTTGGATCAATCAACAATTCAATTCAATTGTTTTCATTATTGTTGAATAATTTGTCTGTAACCGCCACTAAGGTTAGACGTGTTTTTATGAGCTCGCCTATTTTTGGTCGTTAAAGGAGGGGTTTGCATAAAAAAGGAATTAAGTGAAAAAAAATGTATATGTGAAATTTTAACAAAGGTCTATGGTAAGTTTGCTATGAGTAAAGAGTATACGAGTGGTAAAAGCGTATCCAGGATAGCCCTGGAGACGTTTAAGAAGATGAACGCCCCAGCACATCAAGAAACGAAACCTTAGAAAAAACTACAAGCAATGGTTATGAAACAAATCACAATTAGAGAGGTTGCTGATGATGTTGGCATAGCGATATTATCATGTCATGACATTTTGTCCAATGCTTGGGTTTTGAATCACAGCAAATGCAAAAAACAAACAGCGGCGAATGGTAGTTGCTTAGGAGTAACTAAAATAAGTCAATGACGAGGAACGCAGAATTACTTAAACATTATAACAGGTGACAAAACATGGGTTTACGGATGTGACATCAAAACTAAGGCTCAATCATCAGTGGGTTGTAGTTTTACAGCCGCAGAAGACAATCAAAAGCGCATAGCTGAAAGCACTTTTGTCTATCTCAAAGATTAAGTTAAGAGTTTAGGAATTGGAAGAAGCACTGGTACATGTGCATAATCTCTAACGGAGACGAATTTGAAGGAAACATCAATGTAGAGAAATAAATGATTTTTTTTTTAAAGAAAAGGAAAATTCTCGTTATATCTTTTAAACATACATTGTATAAAAACTCCTATTTTTAAAAATCACAGAGGAAATTCTCCTGTAGACCTTACTATTGTTCCAATGGTGGTAAATTAACACATAATACAATTACATAACAATTAATACATACAAAATGCATACAAACAAAAGTATACATTATTACATCAAGCCACAAAACACAACACAAAACACAACTTAGCAATTAATGACTTTTTGTGACTTTAAAAACATTTAAAAATAGGGAAAATATGTCTAATGTTTTAGTTTGAATAAATATTTTGGGGTTATTCAAAATTCTTCACCAATGGTGATGAATATTTTTTAATCATCACTATATCAGAATTTGAGACAGATATTTAAAAGTACTTCCCAACACGGCATTACAAAAAATACTCAAATTGATTGCACTGCTAATCGAGCACAGTTCATTTTCCCAATAATTAAGCCCAAGTCACTAAGTTTACATCACAGCTTTCCGTTCCGATGAAAAGTAAGAACTGCAAAATAAACTATACGTGAGGTGTCATGTCATGTCAGTGATTTAATGGCTTCATGGTAACGTAATAGAAAAAAACTAGGCTGCATAGCAAATTAAAGACATTGCTGATCACTATATCAAACAGGCAGATAATGAAAACTCAGCGAAACTGTCAAGGATGTACATAATCATGCAGATTTTAAAATCTCGCAGGAAGAAAAAAAACATAGAAAACTGTAGTACAGAGACACAATTATCTGTTCTCTGCCAAAGCCCAGAAGTGGTACAAAACAATACAAAACGGAAATTCCCAAAAGACCCCGGAAAATAACTCTACCTAACAGCAACCCTCAGCTAAAAAAATGACAACATTTTCAAGGAAATTAACAATTATATGAGAGTAGATAAGAAAACTTCCAAAAACCAATTGTTACGTTTATGCTGTTTATTTTTGGAATCATTCATCCGAGGCCATATCCCGTTTTCTGGGTTAGGTAAGCCTGAACCGGTCCCCGGTGAAAACGATAGGTACAGTACCTTCTTTCCCTTTCCTCAAATCCCAGGAACTTTTGATGTCTTATAATTGTGGAAAAAACTGACATATTGTGTGTTTTAAATCTAACAAAACTTAAATTTTACCCGAACGATGATCTCTTGAAATTTATAAACAACAAATCTAACAACTGACATACTGGAAGCAAGCACATTTTGTGTACTTCGAAACTACAGTACATGGATTATTAAAAGCCTACCCATCGGCTTAGAAAAAGAGTAAAAAACATAGTCAGCTGATCAGCTCAGCACAGCAGTCAGCTGCAGCAACAGCTCCATCTGTTTCTGTTTGTTTATCGAGAAGATGTTTATGTTTTAAGCCAGTTCACTTATTTTCTTTTACTTAATCAGCTTACTTAAATTCTGAGTGTGACTTTTATTGTTTTTAAAAGTGCAAATAGTAAAAAGAAATCAGTATAAAGTTGTATCGTGATGTGTGTTAAGAACTTTCCCGTTTTGTAGCAAGTAGAACTGACCTAAACTTTGGCTGGATATTCTCTATACACAACATTCACTGATGAAATTGTATGCTCCTGCCTCTGATTAACTCCTATTGTGCTTATTAGCTATTAATAGAATGGATTACAAAATAAGAAAAGAAGTAATTCATGCTGGAAAAGAATTCAAGCCAATTGGTAATGGCTCAAAGGTAGGTAGGCCTAGGCCTAGGCCTAATCTAACTTATTTAATAAATAATTGCATTATTATTTTGTGTTTAAAATGTGGCTGAGAAACCTTTTCTAGGGTTGCCATATCACTGTCTAAAGAGGAGATTTTAGGTGGCGGCCCCCACTAACTTAGTGAATAATATGTAACTTACAAATTAACGGAGAAGCCAAATTGGGATATATAGCCTAGGCCCTATATAACTTAGCCTAACTTTGCAAGAAGGGTAGACTTTCATAAGTTATATGTTGTCAAAAACAACCGAATTAAAATAACTTATCGATCGATATTTTTTATACGATTGCTTATTTCAATCGATATATTGTTTGGTTAAGTTATGTTAGCCTAACCTAACTAACCAAACGATATATCAAATGAAATAATCGATATACTATCAATCGATATTTTCATTCTGTTGTTTTTGACAACAGATATGAAAGTCTACCCCTCAAGAATATTAGAACAAAAACAGTATATAAGTTAGATCATTAACATAAACAAAATAATTATGTTAGGCTACTGGCCCAAAAGTAAACATGTTTTTAAACAATATTCGGGCCAGTTACCTACGTAATTTGTTTACGTTTATAATCAATAAAGGTAGGTACCGTTTCTGTTTAAATAATATTCGTGCTACATACCCTAGTCAATAACTTAGGCCCTAAGTTATTCAAATATCGTACGCAAAAACATACTGTATGTTGCATCTTGCAACTCAAAAACAAGAGCCTAATACAAATAACCAACGTAAACAAAACGTTCTCTGTCTGCTTGACTCGGTTCATAGTGATCACCTATGATAAGCTTCATACTAACTTAGTGACCACTCCAATACCTTCGGGCTGGCCTGCAGACGTGCAATTGAAGAACTGAGAACAATGGTGGAAAAACTCAGGATGTTGCTAGCCAAAGTGAAACCAAGGAATAAGTCAGTAGAAAAAGCAAGTGTTGAGTTATTTCATGATGGGTTAGCCTCTGGATCAAGGTAATGCAAATATAAAAGGTTTAATTTACCTGTTGCGTCAATTGATCCTTAAGTTATGAAATAACTACGGCCGTTTCGTACTGCTAAACGAGTACATCTTCAGGTCATGAACGTTAAAATACGGCCTTCTCATCCATGGGTGGAGTCGTCTGAGGAGTCAGTCATGACTCATCATCTAACGCTACCGGTTACGCAACTCTCGTGTTCGGACTACTTGGCCAAGTTTTTTAATTGTAAATATTTTAATGTTTCGTATGTGTTCGTGTTATGTGTCCTAAATGTGCTGACGACTCCACCCATGGATGAGAAGGCCGTATTTTAACGTTCATGACCTGAAGATGTACTCGTTTAGCAGTACGAAACGGCCGTAGTTATTTCATAACTTAAGGATCAATTGACGCAACAGGTAAATTAAACCTTTTATATTTGAGTTATTTCAGTCATTAACTTAAATAATAATATTTGCAAACGTAAACATTTAAGTTACTGTTACTTTAATTGTAAAAGTGCCTTTACGTAGGCTAATGTATTCTAGTGAATAATAATAAAAGATGAGCTAAATTTATAAACTTAAAACCTAGTAATCTCTGGTGAAATCCAGTAAAATGGCAACCCTAACCTTTTCCAACTCAATTTAATTCATTTAAAAAAAACTTAATGGATTTATCGAGATAGGTAATCTTGGACAATTAACCAACCTGAGAGCTCTGAAATTACCTGCCGGTATTTCTTAATATATTTTGATGACTTAACAGAGTTTTGACATAGCCTAAACATATGTGGGATCGTTTCAACATTGATAAGTTAGTCTAGCTGCCACTTTCTTAGCCAGTACCGGGCGTCTTTCCCACTGATCAGCACAGCAGCCATCATCACAATTTTATGGTTTATTATGGTCTCAAATAATTCAATGCTAATTGCAACTTCTTTCATTTCTAGGTTTACTTTCATTTTCAAACCAAACTATGTGATCAAGATGAAACCCTGATAGATGACAGTCACAAGTTGGGAAAACCAATGGAGTTGGTTTTAGGTAAAAAATTCAAATTGGAGGTTTGGGAAACGATTGTTCAAGCCATGGCAGTTGGAGAAATAGCAAAGTTCTCCGTTGACAAGAGTGTAAGTTACTGTAGGCCTAAATATTTCTGTAGTAGGTAGATTAAAAAAAAAAAAATGGACTGATGTGGCAGTCAGCCGTAGCCTACTGACTTTAAAACAATCTTAATTTCCAAGAGTGTGTCAAAAGCTGTAACTTACAGAGCTTTGAGGAGTAGTGGAGACGAAAAATAACATTTTAAACCATGAATGTTGTCGGTTTGACTACTGAGGCTTGACCCTTGACTAAACCCTTGAGGTAAAGAAATCGGGGGTAGTATTTCAAAGTGGAGAGGCAAGCGTGTTGGTGCGGGTGTACTCTGTTCCACTATGCTTTTATGCACCTATGTACTAGATGTCGATGTCGAGGCCGATGCCGAAGCATCGAACGCGCCAACTGACTGTCTACGTCCACGGAATGAACCCAAACTGGAGCCGGAGCGGGTTAACGCACTGGACCGAGGACAACCTGAAGTTGATAGATTCGAACCGAATGAAGCTGGATCTGGAATAGTGTCTGGAATGGGAATGGTGGTAGTACGAACTGAAAATGAAATTGACGTGGATGCTATTATTGGTGTCAACGACAACACTGCTCGTCCCCCTGCAGAAGCAGAAGACAAAATTCTAACCTCAGAAGACTTAACCCCAAACAAAAAACCAACATATGCAAAAGCGTTGGGGAGTAAAAAACCTAAAGGAAAAGTGGTGGAAAGTGCTAAGTCAAGCGTGTTCAACAGACCGGAAGTCATTATAGGGACTTGTGGGGAGCAAACGAGTCTTAAACCTGCCGGAAATCAAGCCTTGTTCTTTGTATCAAGATTGTCACCTAATACGACTAAAGATGGACTAGCCCAATTTCTGGGTGATAAGGGTGTAACTGACTGTGAGTGCTTTGAACTTGGATCAAGGTTCAAAACATATAAATCCTTCAAGATAGCACTGCCTGAAAACCTAGCTGACGTGATTCTCAACCCCAAGTTCTGGCCTAAGGGAATTCTGGTAAGAAACTTCATTCCCAAAAAACGTAGTTCTACACCATCCCATTCTTTTTTAGGGAGGACAGTTTACAGGTCAGTGGTAAAATAGCAAACCTTGTGTTACCAATCCTTCCTAGGCTAGAGACTGATTGCTGTCGTCCCCTCGATTCAGACCCACAGACTTGTAATAGCAATAGGCCTAGTGAAAACAACATTGTGTTGAATACAGATTCTAACAGTAGCCTAGTGACAGATCTCAATAAATTAGATAAATTGTCCCATTCTACTAATTTTAAAGTAGCTGCGTTAAATGTTCAGTGTCTAAGGAACAAAAGTGAAACACTGTCAATATTTTTACAGGAAGTTAAGTCTGACTTTCTTTGTTTAACTGAGCATTGGTTAACTTGCGATGAGAGTGACTTTTATACAAATCTGCTTGACTTGAAACTTGTGAACATTTACTGTCGCAAAATTCATAGAAATGGAGGTACTGCTATATTTGCCAAGTCAAATTATGAATGCAGGGAAATCAACCTGGATACCTTTTGTCTAGAACTTGACTTTGAAGTAGCTGCTATTTTAATTGACAATATTGGTACCATATTGTTGTCTGTCTACAGATCCCCTAACGGGAATTTCAATAGCTTTATCGACCAGCTGGACCAATGTCTGACTCATGTCTCGGGCCTCAATCCTAGGAACCTGATATTGTGTGGTGATTTTAATATTCATCTTGAGCGTCCGTCTACTGAAGAGTCTATCTTTGTTAACCTACTCAGATCCTATGGACTGTATGTGGCATCCCGGCAACCAACAAGAGGGACTGCATGTCTCGATTCTGTGGCGTCAAACTTCGACTCTTGGAGGGTGAAAGCTGAGGTCGTTCCTTCACTTGTAGCCGACCATGATGGTGCTGTGATCCTGAGTGTGAATTGCTCTGAGGTAAGCCGTAATTCTAACCCTTCTTGGCTTAAGGACTACTCTATCATTAAGCGACCCATCTGTATGGAAAATTTGCCTTTGTTTAGGTATGAGATCTCAAATATAGATTGGAATATACTGAACACAGTGACTGAACCAAAACTTGCTTTCGATCTTTTCTCAGGGTTGTTCTTTGATAAATTTGATAATGTTTTTCCAGCAAAATTATGTAACCCCAAGCGTAATGTCTGTCCTGACGGCCCTGGTTCAAGGCCTAACGAATCAGCAAATTGTTGGTACACAACTGAACTGAGGAGGATCAGAAATTACATGTCTTTTGTTTATGACCTGTATAAGGGTTCTAATGATATGTGTAGGAAAGGGCAGCTCTATTCTCTTTATTTGCAGATCAAGAGGAATTATAGGGTTAGAGTAAATGTGGCCAAGAAATTGTTCAATGCTGAATTCATCCTTAGTGCCCCTAACCCATGTAAAGCTGCGTGGGACATAATCAATAAGGAAAGAGCCCCAGGTCCAGGGCCTAAAATCCAAGCATCCCCTGATGAGTTTAATGAGTATATTTTACGAGTGTGGCTGGAAGCATCATCTCTGATCTACCTGTGTTGCAGACGAACCCTCTGGATTCTATGCCGGACTTCTCCTCCGTCCATTCATTTACCTGCTGGAATACTGTGAGTGTAAGAGAGATCTCTCAAACTATTAAGAATTTTAAAGACTCTAAGAGCCAAGATGTCTATGGCCTTTCTGCACATGTTCTCAGGGCTGTTGCAGATCTTGTGGCCGTTCCTCTCACGCACCTGGTAAACTTGTGCCTGGCTCATGGATCTTTTCCGGACTCTTTAAAAAAGGCCCGGACTGTGCCCATCTTCAAGAAAGGGGACCCTGCACTCATGGAAAATTTCCGCCCCATCTCTATCCTCCCTATCTTTTCTAAGGTGATGGAGACGGTGATGAAGAAGCAACTCCTCTCATATTTTGAAAAGAATGGCCTACTGGTGGACTCACAACATGGTTTTCGTAGCGGTCGATCTACCACCTCTGCACTCCTAAGCCTGGTCGACACCATATCCCAGGCCTTCGAGGAAAATTAATCGGTCCACCTCAGCCTTTGTGACCTCAGCAAGGCTTTTGACGTTGTGTCACATGACATCCTTCTGGCCAAGCTGAGAAAATACGGAATTGGCGGTGCAGTTTTCAGCTCTCTTGTGGACTACCTTGGCAACCGCAAACAAATAGTGACAATCATGGGAGCTTCATCTACTATGGGCTCTCTTCCCCATGGAGTTCCGCAGGGATCGGTTCTGGGCCCTCTCCTTTTCACAATCATGATCAATGACCTTGCTACTACCAGTCATGCCCTCCTGTTTGCAGATGATACCACCTTAGTCACAAAGGGTAAGAACATCAACCCGCTGCTGGAGGAGGCAAACAACTCCCTGAGGTTGGCCAAGGACTGGTTTATAGCCAACAAACTCAAGATCAACGAGGAGAAGACTCAGACCCTTATGTGTTCCTTAAAGATCGGACTTGAGGACAACAGCGTGAAGCTGCTTGGGTTCTGGTTGGATTCTAGGCTAAGTTGGCACCACCATATAGAAAAGGTATGTGTAAAGCTCTCAAGAGTTCTTCACCTTTTAAGGAAGCTTAGGACCACCATTACCAGACCATATTTGCTAGCGGTGTATCACACACTGTTCCACAGTCATCTCACGTATGGCCTGGTTCTGTGGGGTCATTCTCCATCGACACAGGAAGTACTAGTGGAATCATTTTATGAGAAAATTTGACCTAACCCCAACAAAATTGCAACACAAGCAATTTTTTTTTTTAATGATAGCTATGAGTGTCTTTAATAACCCCTCAAAAATCGCCATCAATCGTACCTTGGCAACAAGCCCAAAAATTCAAAATGGCCGCCAAGAGGGCTGCCAAAATATATATTTTGGCATATATCTCGAGAACGGTTAGTTTTATCAAAAACGTTATTTTAGCAAATATGTAGCTCTTTTAATGCCGATCAGTTTTTATATATGCATTTTGTCTGTCAGACGTATGGTATGGCCGCAATTTGAAGAGCCGTACTTCATTAAAATCTGAATTTTTTCACAAAAATTCAAAATTTTCATTTTTTGATGACTTAATGTTAGAAAACACAAATTGTACGTGAAAACATTATAATTAAAAGTTGTTTGCCGTGTGGTTTCCTACTTATTTTCAGTTTTACTTGGGATTTTATGATCATGAAAGTTTGTTGCATGATTAAAATAATTTCCCATTTTAAAAGATAAGTAAGAAGCCAGAATATGGATATGTAATAAAAAATATATGCTATTTAAATCATACAATTTTATTCAATACTACAAAATAAAAAGATCCCTATATACAATATGTACAACATGAACATATACACGTAGTTTTACCACAGTGTTAACATAATTTGGCCAAATGATTTAAAAGTTTAGTCAACATTTTCAAAAATACTATTCTCATCGTCTTTTTCTTTGTCCAATGAAAACTGGAGACTGTTTTCACAATTGTTTTCTAAACAATGACCACAGGAAATAGTGAAGTTGAATCCATTTTTTTTACACACACATCTCATTGAATTACAAGGAGTCTTGCAATTGCATCTAATCATTTTTAACAATGTCTCTGGTGCTGCTGCCAAATCCATCGTTTGGGGCACATACATGTTGTCCTGCAAAGTCCATCCCCAGTCTGTAGTTATCATACTATCTTCTGCCCTTTTCCATATTTGAATTTGTAAATAGGCATGCAGACTATGAAACTTTACTGCTGACTCTGTTGGAGGAAGTTGCTGAGGCTTTACAAAGCTTTTAGCATTTTTTAATTTTGACAAAATACGTTTGTATCTACATGTGTTCATTGATTCGTTCTTATTCCAATTGAACAGACTAACCATTAGTTTCAGTCCGATTTCTTCAACTTGATCTGGACTCAGATTTGGTGAGCTGAAAGATGACAGCAGACCCTGAAAATACTCGTCTTCTAATGTTCTGTTGAATACAGATAGTTTTACGATGTGAAAAATCCTCGAAGTTGTGCACCCTGTATATGCGTGCAGAGCTAATAGAGATTTAGCTAAGTCTTCTCCAAGTGAGGATCTAATTTTTTTAATGTTATAAACATGATCTGAAAGTCGTTTGTCACTTCTGAATAGCAAGTTGTAATTTGTTGTACACCAATAGATAAGTAAAATAAGAAGATCTGTGTAACTAAAGGAAAGAAAGCGACTGTGTAAAAAAAAAAATAAGTAGAAAACCACATGGCAAACAACTTTTAAATTATTTTGACGTACAATTTGTATTTTCTAACATTAAGTCATCAAAAAATTAAAATTTTGAATTTTTGTGAAAAAGACATATTATAATGAAGTACGGATCTTCAAATTGCAGCCATACCATACGTCTGACAGACAAAATGCATGTATAAAAACTGATCGGCATTAAAAGAGCTACATATTTGCTAAAATAACGTTTTTGATAAAACTAACCGTTCTCGAGATATATGCCAAAATATATATTTTGGCAGCCATCTTGGCGGCCATTTTGAATTTTAGGGCATGTTGCCAAGGTACGATTCATGGCGATTTTTGAGGGCTTATTAAGGGCACTCTTAGCTATCATTAAGAAAAAAAATGCTCGTGTTGCAATTTTGTTGGGGTTTAACACTATAATGATTCCACTATACTCCTACTACAAAAGAGGGCGATGAGAATAATAACATCTTCTGGCTACAAAGCACACTGTCGGCCTATCTTCCTGGAGTTGGGTGTGTTGACTGTCTACAGCCAGTATGTCCTTAACATCTTGACCCTGCTGAAGATGAATATTCACCATTTTGTAGTCAGAGACAATGTACATAGCCATCATACCCGCCAAGCTTGCGATGTTGATTTGCCGAGATGCCGTTTAGCCCGCTCACTGAAGAGTTATCCTCGGTCGGCGATAAGGCTGTTTAATTCCTTGCCGGTTCATGTGCGCAATCTGGACTTTGATGATTTTAAGACGGCCCTGCGTGACAAGCTGGTTAATAGGCCTCTTTACAGCCTCGAAGAGCTAGGCAACGAGCCACTTTTTAGCCATTGCCACAGTGTAAATAGTATTGTGTAAATAGTATTTTAGTATTTAAGTAATATGACGCAGTCATGCCGATTTCATCGGTCAACGACTTAGACTCCAAGTAAGTACTAGTTTACCCGCTCAACTACCGGTCCTCTCCGCTATGCTCTAGCTTCGTTTTTCCACTATGTTTTCACTCTTAACACTTGTGTTCAAGATTTTAATTTCTTTTTGTCGTCTATAAAATGTCTGTGATTATACTGTTAATTATTTGGATCGAGTCTTAGTGATAGGTACTACTTAGCTACTATTATTGATTTACATTAACACTTTTGATTTTGTACAGTTAGTGGGATCGTACCCGTTTGTATCAAAGACCTTGAGAGATGCGGGCAAACCCAACTCTCAAAGAGTCCACTGCTGTGGGACGACTCTTCAGAATCAGGGCATCGGACATGAAGATCTCAATCAGCTGATCAAAGAGCCACAAGATCTTCAGTTTGTTATTGGTGAGCAAGTCTGAGTGTTTAGCTACAGTAGGCTTTCTCCTATTGATATACTTTGGGTCATACTAGTTATAAATGAGAACAAATCATTATAAGTTAGCACTAAATGGATATCCTTATATATAATACGTGAAGGCAATTTCTACGAAACACTACCCCTCCGTTAATAATGGACGGATTTTTACAAACCATGTGTCAAAATTAAGCATTTTTTTTTGTAGACGCCCCCTTTCACCAATTCCTGTAATAAAAGTCCTCGGGCTTTGCCCCACAGGCTATCAAAATCCCAATGTATTTTTTATGGAGAAAATATTTTGTTTACTAAACATACGAACAATTTGTATTAATTACAGCTGTTCATAATAAACACATGATACATACAAGAAGGTTCGTTTTCAGAATGAGTTCGTTATCAATTTCGATATCCTAACTGGAGTGGTGTGATTGATTACATTATCTTTGAGTTGACTCTTTTAAGTCATCGGAAATTTTTACTGTTATTTGTTTTGAAATAACGCCTGTAATACTTTGCAATTGCTCAAATTCGAGCAACAGGTGCACTAGTGTTTAATATTGTCTGACTGAGCTGCTAGGTGATGTATCAAGGTAACTGGTAAAACCTGGTAGTCTTTAACACATCGATCGGCAGGCGTTTCCGCAACTTGAATCACTGTCTTGGTTGAGTCTTATAGGCTACGGCCTCCTGTGAACTACCTTAGCACTATTGCACATCTTTTGTACATCTAAACAAACATTATAATTTACATATTCAGCTACTATGACGATACTAGTCGTAATGGGTGGAAACTAGCTAGAATTTTATAGCATGAAGTAAAGAACAAAACACTAGTGTCAGTTTTAAACTAACTTACTCAATCACAAATGAGGTTGATGAATAACTTAATTTACTCTTGTAACAATAACATCAGTACCTACGTACCAAATAGCACAAATAGAGACAATTATTGTGTGTAGGTGAAAACGTGAGTCTTTCTCATATGATTAACAGAACCATTCAAAGTCATTCTTGAGCTCTGTTGCATTGTCTATAGCAATGTAATGTTGATAAATGACACTAAATAGCTTCTAATATTTCCTCGTTTTCTAACACACCAAAGAACTCACATGTCCAACAGAAAAATTAATCCTTAAATTTAGAAAGATTTAGGCTCTAAAACTTATTATGATTACCTTGCTTTTTAGAACTTCTGAAAGTGGAAAACGCAGGAGAATATGAGAGGGAAAGTTGGCAATTGTCGGAGGATGAGAAGTTGGCAGCAGTGCCACGACTACGAGAACAGGGTAACCTACTGTACCAACAGAAACAATATCAAGCTGCCGCTGACAAGTACGCTGAGGCCATCGGCTACATAGAACAACTGTTGCTAAAGTAAGTAAAGTTCTCTACTCTACATTGAAGAAAAACAGAGGACAGATCGGTGTGCATTTTACTTCATTATCGAACACTATTAAGTTTCTTAACTTATATCTTCTTATTATGTTTCTTGATGTGTATTTATTGGTTTGGTAAACTTACATATTGTTCTCTTGCTAGAGAGAAACCTCGAGATGTGGAGTGGAATGATTTAAATGCCAAGAAGCTGCCTCTCCTGCTAAACTACGCACAGTGCAAGCTCCTACTGAAGGACTATTATCCAGTGATCGAACACTGTTCGACTGTTCTAGAGTTTGAACCAGGTTAGAGAATAATCGTACTAACTTAGGAACTAAGGCTTCCTCAGTTAACGCTACAAACTTGGTCTTCAAAGTCCAATAAAGGTCATCTTGCGCTACTGTTAGCGCTAGTAGTTAGTCCCGCGGTTTGCATGGGCTCGAGAGACAATTCCGCCCGTCTCCCCTCTTGCATGCGGGGGAATTTTTCTCTTCCTTGTGCCCCCAAACCTCTTAAAAATTCTTGGGCCCCTGGGACCATTTACTAAACCAGCCAGATATTGCTGTACAATTAAATTGCTCTAATTGTTTAATTAGGTAAGCAATTCTCAAATAGTGTTCTTTTTAACAAAACTATTCTTAGTAACTATGCTCTAGAGGTTTGAAAGAGAGGGGAAAATACGTTGTACTCTGGAAAAATAAATTAAATTAAAAGTAAAACATACATTTTGTCCTAAATACGTAACGGAGGTTTTTGGATAAAGTTCTATACGTTGAAAATGGCTTCAGAAAGTCACCAAACGGCTTTAAAAATAACCAACAGAGGATCCCCAGACCTCCTCATTTTTGGGGTGTGTCCCATACCCCTAATTTCCCCCTCCCCCTTGCCGAGTTCCTAGAACTGCCACTTCACATCAGGCCGTCCAAACCAAACTGGTCCGAACAAAGGGAATGTCTCATATTTCACCATGTTTGTCTTAAATATGCTAACTATCTTTCTTCGTACTAGAAAACGTCAAGGCTCTGTTCAGACGAGGCAAGGCTCACGGAGCTGTGTGGAATATGAAGGAAGCAAAAGAAGATCTTGAACGAGCTGCAGAACTGGATCCATCCCTTGGCTCGACTGTTCGCGCGACGCTGTCTTCAATAAGCACCACGGTGAAACAGCGAGATGCCGCGGTCAAGGAACAGCTGGCTGGAAAAATGTTCTAGCGTAGCCGTTGCGATATATTTTACTGTCTGAGGGATCAATTTCTAACCGACTGATCTTAAAATTTATTTATACTAAACCTTAACTTTTTATGAGACTGCGACGTCCTTAAACTAGCTTTTTATAATAAGTATTTTGATGTATATTGTGTGTTTACAAACTGGTAATGTACTGGCTGTCAGTGCTCAAAATATATGTTAGACTAGTAGTAGAAAGTTTAAATAATTTGCCCAGTTTGTTAAAACAATCTTGTAAAAGATTTATTATTCCTGAAATTAGTGTGTTCAATGTTTTACTACTCATATAACTTAATGTGTTATTACTAAAGTTATCTCACTTCCAATTAGTTTTACAGTCTAACCTTGATATAACGAACCTTGATATAACAAATTCCTTGATATAACGAATTTTTTTTAATCCCCTAGAACTCTCCATAAGACACAATGTATATTTTACCTCTACATAACGAACAAACCATAACAACCACCTTGATTTAACGAATTTTTCGTGATTTCGGCTAAAATAAGACACCTCAATATAACGAATTTATCATTGTCAGAACCTCTACATAGCGAATTTAACCTCTGCATAACGAATTGCCTACATCTTTCCCTCGATATAACAAATCCCCCACCCAATTATTGTTTTGGGAAAAACTGTTTCTTTATCAAATGAAATGGAAAGGTCACGTCATCGCTTGCGCTAACATTCGTCTGCTCCACACATCTCTGTCTACTGTCGCTGCGCGCGCTATGTTGCAACTTGCAACTGAGAACTGATTTCATTCACTGAGGTGAGGACTGATGACGAGGACGACGTAATGTTCAGTAAGCTGTGATTGGGCGATAAGTAACTATGGGGAATTGTACAATTTTTGGATAAAGAGAAACCTAAGAAAGAATATAAAAACAAAACCAAAGAGAAAGAATAGCAACATCATTATTTTAACATTCCTTTTACGAGCGTTTTTATTATCCTTAAGTTGGCTATGATTATACACTTTTATAATGACTTATCTAATAATTAAATTGTTTTCAATACGATTTGTTTCAACTAGCAACACCAATGCTGATTATTATTGACATTCCTCTGTTGTGATTAATCAGTACTGTACTGTAAGTAGCCTACCGGCCTATCGCGAGCAGTAGCTTACAAAACTTTCTGCTGTTTTGTTTTGTTCTTTGTTCTTTACATGGTTTATGACTACACAATACAGTGTTTGGATAGGTTTTAGGAGGGTTAGAACAAGCTGTGATTTTAAACTTACAGTTTTTAACCTGTACCAAGGTCAAGCCAAAAAAAAAAAACAACTCAAACAATACTTGATTAAACGACCATATTATAAATTAACTAGCTGACCCGGCGAACTTCGTATCGCCTAAGTTATAGGTTTCCCCTAAGACAGACCGATGGAAAGAAAGTACCGTTACGTTTAATTTTCAAGATGATCTCGTTCGCATCGCTCAATCACGTCCTGGTTGAAGTTCGTTCGCTACGCTCACTCACCTTTGGGTTGGAGCTCGTTCGCTACGCTCACTCACCTTTAGGTTGGAGCTCGTTCGCTGCGCTCACTTGCCTTCAGGTTAGCTCGTTCGCTACGCTCACTCGCCTCCAGGTTGAAGTTCGTTCGCTACGCTCACTCACCTTTTGGTTGCAAATTAGCTGTTGTCGTAAATGTAAAAGAAATAATAGTGCTGCACCCTGTTGGTAATCCTTGTAACTTTAATGCTATTGAACATCATAGAACAGAACCAACTTGTTTAATTGAAACAGCTGTTAAGATTCATTAATTCCATTTCTCATAAGGTTAACATGGGAAACTCCAGAGCCACTGGGGCGGAGCCCTTTTAAGAATTTCGAAACGGGAAATAGTTTACGTCCGATTCGCATACCTACAGAATTTACACACCAAATTTCATAACGATCGGTGAAGTCGTTCCGGAGGAGTTTGCAGACAAACACTGTGACACGAGAATTTTATATATTAGAAGATTGACTTTATAAATTAACACAAATATCACCTAAACAACAAATAGGAGAGCAATGCTCAAACTCACACACACGCATACACATAAACAAGAAATTGACGATTCCCCTGTCTACGAGGACGGCGGAGAAGACATCGATGGTAAATGGTAAATTGTCATGATTGCGCAATATTCAAGATCCATCCCCTTTATTATGCCGGATAATTTAGGTTCTACAGTACAATGTAAACACTGTACTGTAAAGTATTGTAGCCTATGCTACTTTAATTGTACTGTATTTTAATGAGGTCAAATCCCGACCTATATTGACCGACGCTGGTTCTGAACCTCGACTTAGCGAAATTCCTGCAAACCTAACCTCTATATAACGAACCTCGTTTTAACGAAATCCTTGATATAACGAATATTCAGTTCGGTCCCTTCAGATTCGTTATACTGAGGTTGGACTGTATTTTACCAATGAAACAAGTGGTGTTTTTATCATTCTTGCATCCATCTGATGTTTTTGAATTACTAATGGAGTATTTTAACTTTAAATGTGAATAGAAGCAAATCAACTTTAATATTTTTTGTTATATTAATTATGTTATCAACAGTTTATGTTGTTTATTTAAAATTTATTTATAAGTATTTGTTTATACTCAGATAATTATATCGTTGTTTTAAAAAAAATTATGCTTTTTATTCACTCCCCATATTTTTATAAAGTTGGTTGTGTAAACAATTAACTGAGCCTTAGAGCAGTTAGAATTCTTAATTTCTTTTATATCATAAATCTATGCACTTCTTATCCAATTTGATCCAGCCCAAATTCGTATCATCTCTATAAGGCTTAAGCAAGCGCAGTTAGTGTTCTAGTTTCTAGCGGTAGAAACTTTCTATTTAATATTCTAATACCTAAACCAGGGACGTCAGTTATTTTTGCTGGCATTGTGTTTTTGTGTTGTGTTGTGTTGTTTGTTGTGTTATCTAAATTGTGTCATATAGGGTTTTTATACCCCGTCCTCCAAAGAACGAATAACTCTCCATAAGTTAGCTACTTTTCAAGAGGTTACTTCATAATTTTCATTTTTTTATTTCCCATCACAAAAATTAAATTCCCCTCTTCAATAAATAAAAAATAAGGGGAGCCGAAAGGTGACCAATTCTGGTAGGCGTCTGAAATTACTTATTAAGGCCTAAAGCAAACAATTTTTCCCAAAATGACAAAACCATTGTAGTCCAAAAATATGTAAATGAAAAATATGAGACAAAACTTATTACTGTACAGCATTACCAATCACTAACCGCCTATATTGTTTTAAAATGTTTACACACAACTTCAAATAAACAAATAATACAAACAATACAACAAATAAATACAATTGGTTAATAAAGCAACAACCAATTAACTGTAGGTATATAAAATTATATACCTGTATTATATAAAATCCATTAAAAATTTCAATGCTCTTGATAGCTCGACAACCCCCAAACTCGACAACCTTTGGGTCTGTTTTCTGCTTTTATGGTAACCAGCATGGTCTTTTTTCAAAGAGCTATATAGGCTTAATACAAACCAATGTATGCAAGAATACCCTTCACTTAAATTGAATTTTTTGCTTCGGGTTTGCAGGGGCCTTATCACCGCCACTGTTTTAAGTCCACTATCGTTTTATGGATTTTCTGTTTAAACTGGTTTCTAGATAAATTGAGAATAGCACATACAATAAAAATTCCATGTGCGATTTGTGAACATTGATTAGCTATCAAAGAAATCTTTGCCTTCCTTGCCATTGAATATTTCTAAAAAGAATATAGATCAGTATGTTGGAATTTGTAATACCTTATTGTTCTTTCAGATTAATTTTTAACAGACAATCAAGAATATTGTTAAACATTTGTGCAAAAGAAAGATATTTTTATTTTTTAAATTACAAAAGGTTGGTAAGGTAATGTAAAACCTTTGACTATTAATACAACAACGTTAAATGTTGCATCAATATTTAATTAACTTTTTTTTTAGTTATGCAAACAAAATTAGCATCTCTACGCCCAGATACTACTGATACTGATTGTTGGAATTTTACCTACTTCTGCCAATACCTCAACAACTGTTCTTGGTGCTGCTCCCATGAACTTGAAAGTTATTGCCAAGGATGTGCAGTTCATGTCTTCCAAAAACAGTAAATATGTAGCCAAAGATGAGGCAATGAGCAAAAGTGGGTCTGCCAAACTGCCTTACAAACAGCTGTATTACCTACTTTATTTATACTTTAGCTGTACCTACCAAAACTGCTCTGGTCCTGTGTAGTACAGTGACAGTGTACTATACTCCAACATGGCGGTAAGACACTTAGGAGTAAAATTATTTCTGAACAGAACTGTCAAGGTTTTTGATATAAGTATTAATATATGTTTAATGCTATTTTTAAATCATTACACTACTGAATTTTAATTAAATCGAGCGGAAACCATAAAATTAGTACTGTAGAATTATTATGAACATGTGCAATTGTGCAATCAATTGTAGTGTAATTACACATGTTTTGTATACTATTTTATAATGAGTATTTTTGTCATACATATATGAAAATTGCATCGTATGGAAAGTAAATACTTTGTATTTAGCGCTAGGTAAAATACCACATCTCAAAATAAAATTTAATCAACAATTTATTTGCTGAAGAAAGAAAACGCAAAATAATCCTATAAAAACATTGAGCTTAAACTTTTTAACGGAAATTGAATATTTTATGATGAATGAACTTGAATACATTTTTAGATGGGCTTACAAGCATTAAGAATCGTTAATTTTTTATTTTTTGTATAATAAATGCTCTTATTTACCTAAAAATAGAATCCAGACCTGTTTTCAAACTCTGCTCATGAACTATTATGTACACATCCCCTCTGATTTATAATAACGTGATTTTCCATTGTTTGTTCTGTATTTTATTGCTATAAAAAGTAAAATTTTCACAATATATTAAACAATACATAATTTCTTTCTATAGGACTAGCCATAGTGAATGCTTTCCTAGAACTAAGGAATCTTGTGTTTATTTATTTGGTCTAATCATAAAAACAAAGTGAATTATTTACCGAAAAACAAACTATTATAGGTATACCAATAATCAAAATTAAAACACAAACATTTTAGGTTTTATTATAAATATTGGAAAAATGTGATTCATACAAAAAATTCTAAAATTTATATGTAAATTTCAAAGTTATGTCTTTGAAAAATTATAGTTTATTTAATAGTATTTGTTTTATTATTAAATCAATAAAAAAAAAAAAAAACATAATATAAATTTCAATATAAAACAATTATTGATTTTTTATTAAAAGCTATGATGTTGATAACACTCATCCTAGAACCACATTTTGAGGAATGTTTGTTTTTTAATAAGTCAAAGTTGAAAATCCTTTATTCTTTCAGGATGAAGATGAAATTTTAACTGAAGAGCAAATTGCAAGTGAGTAATCATAATAGCTTTTGTACCGAAACTTTGTATATAACCTGTTCAAAACAATGATAGGGTCAGATTATCAGATTATAATTAGAAAAATCTTTGCTGCATGTGGTTATTCTAGGATATAGTAATTACTGTATATATATAATCCTTATTTTAAGTATTGCTTTTATTAATTTTTAAGAATCAGTTGTAGTTATTTTATTTAATTTTTTTCCACGATTTCTAGGAGTGATGTGTGTAACGTATGTTGTATATATTATCCTAAGAGCTGAAAACTCAACTGTGGGATGTATTTTTAGATATTAATAATATGTATAATTTAGGTTAGGTCTGACTCTATTCTTTGTAAACAATTTACATGTGACAGAATAAAGAAGTTTTGAATTGAATTGAATTATATAATAATTATCACAGGAGTAATCTATGTTATTAAAATAATTTGTTGGATTTTTGTGTGCAGAAATCGACCCCTAAATATTTATTTTTATAGGCATATTGGGTATCAATTTAAAGCTCTTATCCTCTAGATGTGCCTTTTGCGGGTTTGGATGATATCCCGTGAAAACACTTCGTCCTACAGGCTTTTGAAAATTTCATAGTTTGTGCTGAATTCTGTTGTCAATCATCTGAACTTTTTCAAGTTTACATTTGTTTACATCAAAACAGATGGACATGATAGAAAATTGTTTACATTCATTAAAAAATGGGGTTATTTGTAGTTTGGTGAGTTTTCTGTGAATTCAAACATAGATAAAAAGAATTAAATATAGACTGTCAGTCGTGCTGTGGTTACCATAGGTTCCGGCGCACGCTGCTGGGAGCACCGTGTAATTACATAGCGTGTATGCCGTAACTACATGGCGCTCCCAGGGGTGTGCGCCAGAATCTATGGTAACCACAGCACAGCTGACGGTCTATATTTAATTTTTTTTGTCTATGATTCAACTAAAATGTTGTAATGTTATTTGTATAAAATGTAGAGAAGAAAATTACTTACGTTCGATTTTGTGTTGTGATAGGATTTTGTGTTTTCATAGCATGTTTTATTGATTTTTTGGATAATTCAAGTAAAATAATGTAATGTTATTTGTTTAAAATGTACAGAAGAAAATGACTTACGTTAGACTTTGTGTTTTCAGTGTACATTTCATTAGTATTTGTAATTCTAAGATACCTCGAAGAGATCACGCACACAATGAAAATAATATAGGGCTCGCAATGCAAATAATAGGAATGTGATGAGAAATAATCGTTTTTGAACTTATCAACTATATATAAAATATATCACAGATTTTAAAGTGACGAAGTGATGCAGGTAATAATTATTAAAAATCGTTGTCTTAGAAGAATATATATAAGTTTAGCACTTTCTACACATGTTGATTTTTTTTAGGATACAAAGCCTTCCAAATCCAACCATGTTTTCCTTCAAGAGTCTTCTGAATTCAAAAGGATGTCTTTGAATAATATATCTTCTTATTTAAACTCGTCTTTGAATGATGACGGGACCTTTTAAATTCATGCTTGGCTTGTCTTATTAGTAACTTTTGATTTTCAGTATTGAAGAGTGCCTTCAATGCCTTTGATCAGGAAGGCACGGGGAGCATCAGCATGGAGATGGTGGGGACCATCTTGGAGCTGATGGGATGGTCCATGACTCCAGCGGAACTTAAAGAAGTCGTGGACGAGGTGGATGCCGACGGTAAATATTTGAAATTGTAAATTAGAAAAAGAATCATATGTGAAAGCATTGACTATTGGATACTGAAGAAGACTTCCCATCTATATGGACCAGCTGTAGCCATTTTTTTTATTAAAAAAGAATGTAGTTGTGTGAGCCAGTCACAGAATACGCTAACCTCTAAAATTCTATTTTATACCTTATTTTTTGTTGCTGACCAGGTTGATGATGGGTCATAAAATTCGCTATAACTCATCATAAGGCATTCCCTAAGTTTGACTTGGTTAAAAAGATTGTGTATTCTGCAGAATTTAGTAATTTAGATCAGCGCAATTTGTAGGTGGCTCACATCAACTACGACGATTTTGACAAAAAAGCTGGCTACAAATTTAACATGGGGATGGAATGTCTATAGTCAAAGGTGAAAGTTTGGGAATTGGTTATCACAGAGATGTTATTGTCATACAGTTATGGTTCCCAGTTTGCAGCACTAAAGTAGTAAGTAGAGGTGGTTGAGACGGGTTTTTGTCTTTGCCGGAGTATGGCCGTGTTTTTTGGCAATAACTCTTCACAAAACAAAAGAGTCAGGTACACCCACACAGAGAAGATAAGTACAGATGGTGTCTAGCACTAGCTGCCAGAATAATACAGACACTAAAACACTCTCACAACATTCACAATTCTGTAGCTGTACTTAACTTAAATATAGCAATGACACGGAAATGAGTGATTATTTTATCAGATTGTACACATATTTAGTACAAGGTGCATGGAAAGGATTAGGTATTACTAGCTGTACCCGCGGGCTTTGCCCCGTTTAACTTCATAAGTATTCGCATGGCTCATTCACGTCCTGGTTGAAGTTCGTTCGCTACGCTCACTCACCTTTAGGTTGGAGCTCGTTCGCTACGCTCACTCACCTTTTGGTTGGAAATTAGCTGTTGTCATAAATTAAAAAACAAATAATAGTTCTGCACCCTGTTGGTAATCCTTGTAACTTTGATGCTATTGAACATCATAGAACAGAACCAACTTGTTTAATTGAAACAGCTGTTAAGATTCATTAATTCCTTTTAAATATGAATACTCATAAGGTTAACATGGGGAACTACAGAGCCACTGGAATGGAGCCCGAAAGGATTTTTGAGATAAGAATATGCTTTAATGTTAATCGGGAATGTGAGCTATCATCATGCCAAATTTCAGCCCAATCCGTCCAGTAGTTTATGTGTGATTGAGCAACACACACACACAAAAACACACACACAAACTTACAAACTTTCAGATTTATAATATTAGTAAGATAGACAGGTTTTAGAGAGTTTTCCAAGTTTAAAGAACTACGATGATCTGGACTCGTGCCCAAATTGCATATTTTTATAGTGTTTGATTCCGAGGCAAAACAAATAATGTAATACCCTTTTACTTTTCAAAGATTATATTTTTTGAGACAGATGTTAGGTGAATACGACTACTAATTTAAAAAAATTAAATTTGCCGCTTTTAGATCTTAAACATGAGTGAATTACTGACCTCTATCAGGTTACAGTTATAAGAATATTTCAAATCCATTTTCATAAACTGTGTTCATTGTTTACAATCTGACTGTGGTTAAAACTTCAACTGAATGATCATCTGTTCACGTTCAAACCGTTATAAAGAAAGTTGGTCAGCATTACTGAAACTTTGAAAGCAAACTCTAAAAAATTCAAACTCTGGGAGGAGGCAAAGCCCTAAAGAAAATTACCTTTGCCATCCATCACTCTGCTAGATCATAAGCTTTACAATAATACCTCAATCGTAAAAATCGGTTGAGTAGAACGGGTGAAAAAGGGATGTAACAGGGCAAACCCTAATTGTACCTATTACTTATTACCTAAAGGCAAATACCACTCACTCACTGATCACTATATCTCAAAAACTACAATCAATAATAAGAACCATATTACAACATAAAACATAACCATCAACCAATAAGAATTGGGTTGGAGGCTCCAATTAAGCTCTAGGTGTGCAATAAAAAGCGTTTTCAAAAAACACCATCAGGGATCTGTCCCAGTGGCGTTTAAAGATCCCATGATATCCTTATAGAGGAAAGATTTGTTAACATTTGAACAGATGAATAATATTGAATTTTGGACTATTAACTAGGGAAACTGCTGGTTGTATTTATTTGGTTGAAATTTAAATATTTGCATTGAAAATATTGGTGTAATTGTTAAGTATAAAGATGGATGAAAAAGTATTTCTGAAATAAGATAAAAGAAAGCAAAAGCCAAATTCGTAAATTCACAACGCTGTTAGTTACTGTGGCATTGCTAAGATGCCAAGTTGGATTGACCTTTCCACAAAAACCTCTCCTCAATAATGGATTGCTACTATTTCAATTGAACACAATTTGGCATTGCTTGGATTAGGTTTTTAATCCCAAAAAGATGTTGGGCATTGGCAGCAATTAATGGAATATTTCTGTTTAGAGAAGAAAAATTGAAAATGGCTCATTACTAACTGTCCTCATCACACCAAATCCCGAGTTTAAATATAGGTAGCTAAATATATTAAGTTGACTACTTTCAATTCAATTAAATTAGTTTGTATCATAAACATAAACCATATAGTTCACAATCATAGTTTACAATTGCAACTTAAATTATCAAGAGTATTTTTGAAACTGACAGGTTCATTACAAAACAGAACAAAAACATTGCAATTATAAGGTTCATCACTTAGAAATACACGAATACAAAAATGCAATAGTCAAAAATACAAAAATATAAATATTAGTCTCTAGTCAGAGCTCAAAGGGGTGGTTCTCCACCATCCTTCCCATTTCCTTCTTCTCCCATGGGGAATTATTGTATTGGTATTATTAACACAAAAAGTATCTAGTAATAGTAGTTTTCGCAACCATTTTGTGTAAAGATAGTGTTAATGTCACAAATAGAAAATTCGATGGTTGTTGTTAACACTATTTACGCGAGTTGCGTACACTAACTTACTTTACCTACGACAGTGTTTAATCTCTCATTGCCACTCACAGTGATTTAAAGAAACATTTTACCAAACACTAATTGCACCACTCGACAATTAAATTGGCCCGAACAGCTGATTAGTTTAAGTTTGAATCTTTACAATTTTACTTCTTCAATCCTTGAACCTCATTGGTCCGTTACCCGTGTTGTTATGTAAAACTATGCTGTTATGAAACTATGCAATGCTGTTATGAGAAACGTTTAATTTCTAAGAACTGAACTGAAATGGCTACTTTAAAAAACGGTTGTAGGTAAAATAATAAACGCTAGAGCAGTGTCATCAGGTATTTTAGAGGTCCTAGACCGATGTGCCACTTTTTCCTTATCTTTATTAGTGTTCCTCAACAGGATCTGGTTGGCTGGAGTTCGAGGAGTTTTGTCAACTGGCCTCCAAGTTCGTGATGGAAGACGAGGACGGTGGCAATATAGAAGAGGAGTTGAGAGAAGCGTTCAGAATGTACGACAAGGAAGGTGAGGCTATTATTATTTATGTTTTTATTATTAAATTCAAGTAGATTTTATTACATGGTCACCCGGAGTGTATATTGTAAGAGGAACTTCCTCCTGAACAAAAAGTAGTTTTTAAATTTTAAGTGATGTCTGTGTGTGCGTGTGAATGTGTACAGAGCTACAGAATACACAATCCGATTTTGTATGTGGGTACTAACATAGACTAACCAACACAAGTAGACTTATCATCCCATTGTAAACTTTGAAGCACGTTTTTCATGTTTAGTTCATGTCTAGTGACACTGGGCACTAGTGTTAACAAAATGTTGTTTCTATAATTTTAGGATTAGTTTCTTGATTTGTGCTTTAATGTTTGGTTATATTGTTATAGGTGACGAGTTATTGTTCATGATGAGATCGTATTATTTGGTAAACAAGGTTTTAAATTATAACTGAAATAACAAGAAACAAATTGTAAACGAAACACAACCTCTGCAGTACACCGTACACAACTAACATTTAAATTGTCTTCAGCTGTTCGATAAGGATGAGAAATCTACTAAGGGAGTATGTTTTATCTATGGTACTATCTACTAATCCATGGTATCTGCAGGCGTTTTTTATTATTTTTCAGATTTTTTAAATGGTGATTTTCCAATAAATCCCATGAAATAACGGAAAGATATGGTTTTAAAAAAGAATTACGGTACTTAAATGATTTTGATTACAATTTAGAATTTTATAGTGCTTTTATCTTGGAATTAAGTCCCCTAATGTTGTTAAAATTATAGTTCAAAAGTTATTACCATTATTGTGATTTCCCCCACAAAATCCCATAGTTAGTTAATCCCTGTGGTTAGCCATTATATAATTGTTAGGACTTTTGTTTAAGTAGTAGGATGTTCAATGTTATTGGGGAAATATTCAATATTATGTAATGGGGGAAAGTGTGTGTGTTAGTTTGCTGATACCATATATTTATCGTGATACTTTAGTTAGGTACCAACATATACAAAATACAATTAAATATTGACCGTCAGCAGTGCTGCGGTTATCATTAGTTCTGACATCCACCGTTGGGAGCGCCGTAGGAGATACGTAACTACACGGCGCTCGCAGTGGTGGACGCCAGAACTTAAGCTATCCGCAGCACTGATGGCGGTCTATATTTGATTCTATTTCTATTCTATGCAAACGCAATGGTGTTTGAAAAGTACTGTATCTGTTCATTTGTTTACTAAATTCTGTTGGCTTAGAAGTTTCTTAGTTCAGACTAGGGTCTCAACTGAAGTTTCTGAACGAGATGAGTAAACCAGAGTAAAATCTGCACTTTCAATAGCAGAAATACTTTATTGTGTTGTGAAATTTTATTTCCACTTATGATTTTACTAAAAATGCTATTTAATTACCAGGTGAAGGCTACATTACGACAGACGTGTTGAAAGAAATCTTCCGAGAATTGGACAGAACTATCACTGAGGAAGACTTGAACAGCATGATTGAGGAGATTGACTCTGACGGCTCCGGTACTGTGGATTATGAGGGTAGGCCAGTAGGCAGCACAGCAACAGCACCCCAACAACAACAACAACAGCACACAACAACAGCAACAAGCAACAGCAGAGCAGTACAGTAGTACTGCTCTTCCAAAATATGAAATCTCACCTATAATACTCCGGCTGCAGCAAAACTGCAGACTAATTGAATTTCAATTATTCTGAATGGATTTTTACTGAAATATTTACTTCAATTTGTCACATTTAAGATTTATTCCCTATTTAAATAGCAATAGATTTCATGAGTACATAGGTTTGCTGCTACAGGGAAGGAAAAAAAGTGTTTTTGGTAACATGTTAACCCTTTCGATGCTAGAATTTTGTTGCAAGTTTCTGAAAAATGCTACTATAGAGTTATTTACTAATTTCGTCCGAAAAGTGCTAGGCTTGCAACGTGGATGAAGTCTAGTGTGCGAGAAAATCTAAAATTTTTCATCTCAAAGGTGTTAAGGAACGATGTATCGAGCCTCGATCGTATGACGAATTGCAAGAAACCATCGCTGTTTCGAAACATTAACTGAGTAACCGATATGCCCATTTCAACTCACACGATTGAAAATCGCGCCGGCCTGATTTATCGTCGCTTAGCACTATTCGAATGAAACGCGAACAATAATATCGTTCCATAGCACTTTTCGGGAAAAAGATACACAACAATATATATTCACATAGCACTGAAAGGGTTAAGCTTATACTATGAAATAAATAAATTTGCCAAGTTTGATCATGAAATGTCCATTAACACGCAAATTATAATAGTTAACTTTTCCTCCCAAAGAATAACACGGCAATTTTAAATGCAGTTTTTTTTTTCTCTCTCTGACTTTTAATCCTTCAACAACGCTTTAATGTACACAATTATTTTATTTTAAGCTCCACGATGGATTCAATGAAAGTTGGGCATTTTTACGTTTTAATGGTCAATAATTTTAAAATCCCACAACACCTTATTCCCATGACTCTATCTACAGAGACTTAGACGGCAAGAAGGATCCATACAATCAGATTCTTGCGTGAGATCTTTGACGGAAAGTAAATAAAAGAAACGTCTTATAACACTATTATATACACTTATATTCACGCTTATACTGTTACTCACAAGACGGTAAATATATAAAAAAGATGGTAAGTGGTGATCGATTTCGATTGGACACTCCAATCATCATCAGACCCAATAGGCGAATGTCTCTTGACATTCAAAGAATGAGATGCGAGATATAAGTAGGGAAGTCTTTATTTTACTTTTAGTTTGACTCTACGAGTACTATGCACAGACCACTGACTATTTCCTATAGTATTTCAAGTATACACACAGACCACTGAAGTCTATGTATACTAAGTTCCGTTAGATTAATTAGTACTAGCCAAAGCAATATATTTCAATTAGTATTCAACATTCTAATTTTTAAATTACTTATCTACATTTAATTTAACCTTCTAGACTACTATCATTATATTTTTTATTGTTTGTTTATATACTTAATGTGGAAATAAATCTGATTTTGTTTGACTTAATCAAATCCCTTTAATGTTTCAGAGTTCATGGAAGTCATGACGGGAGAGTAAATAAAAAGAAAAATGAAACAACAGTGACCACAAATTACATGCTATACTGCACATGAACTATAAATGCTATTAGATTTGTTAAATGTTACTAGACGTAAGCAACATACGAGGCTAGTCCAGAAAGTAAGTTCCGTTTTGGAAAAAACATACGGATAATTTTATTTAAAAAAATAAAAATATTTCTACAAGAAAGAAAATATCTCAAACTATTTTTCTACATAGTTTCCACCATTGTTTAGACATTTGTCGTTGCGAGGAACCAACTTTTCTATATGTACCCACTTCATAGAAAGATGCCGTCATTGAAGAGAGCCATTGCCGAACACCGACTTGAGCGTCGTCATCGCTGTCAAAGCCGCGCTGTCCGAAATCCCGCTTTAATTGCAAAAACAAGTGGAAATCAGGTGTCAGATCCGGGCTGTATGGCGGATGGTCAAACTGCTCCCAACCAAATCAAGGTTTTGAGTGGCATCAGCAGAATGGGGTCTCACAAAAGATGGCTGCGAGCATCGTCATAAACATTGGTTCTCCCATCATTGAATTGCCGAATCCATTCTTACCATTCCATCACTGATAACTTTTTCTCCATAAACTTCTGTAAGTCGGCGATGAATTTCAGCAGACTTCATGTTCCTTGTGTTTAAAAAACGTATTACAGTCCGCGGGATGAAAAACTGTTTCAAACATTTTGAGTGTACACTAATTAATGTAACACAACACAATTTTGCCTTAATTGCGTCAGCTGTTCAACAATGAACCAAGGAGACTAGTGTGCATGCCCATAACATCGTTGTTAGCGCTGTGCCAGCAGTAGAACGAAACGGTACTTACTTTCTGGACAAGCCTTGTAGTAATTGTCTATTCAGTCAATGTTATAAATCAAGAACTGTCTTTTCTTTTACATTTTTGTTAAGTTAATTACTCTTAAGATCCAAATACAGACCATTTTGAGAATATTGCAAATTTATTAATAACCTCTTCAGAATGAACCACATATAAAGTGATTACAAGTTTAATTTTGATAAACGTGTTTGCTTTGTTGACCTGACCCCATAAGGTAGAAACCAAAATCAAATTATACTGTACCATAACTATGACAGTAGCACTGTAATGTTAAGAATTTCAGGCACTGACGAAGGAATCTGAAGACTTATATCACTTGGTCGAATCTGGTCTATTCATAAGGAGGTCATCTGTCTGCGGCAGAGGTTGACAAAACAGCTAAATAAATATTGGACGGCTCGGCTGAAAGATGAGGGAATGGGTGGATTTTTGTAAATTACACCTCCAATTAGGCATTCTACTACCTACACCTCTTATATACATACTACTGTGTGTATCTGTCCACCAAATCTTGTTTTATAAGAATTGGGATTTTATGTCCATAAGAGAGAAGTACAATAAAAGGACATATTGGAAAGAAATGAATAAATTACTTGCTTTGACTATTAGTCAATGATTACTCGTTTACAAAAGGTCGAACTTTGAAGTATTGTTACATATTATATGGTTGTATACGAACAGGCAGATAAGGCATTAGCACTCATGGCAAGTTGGACGAGTCTGGGCGGTGCTTATCTTTGGTAATGGTAGAAGGGGGAGGGCTTTATCGGGAAAGTACGCGTATTTCTCGGAAGTACTTATACCGGCCTCGTGTTTCGGATGCAGTGATTCCAACGTTTGAAAACCGAATTTCCCCGTTTGCTTACATTGTCTGCGATTCATCATGAATAATCTAGTTTGTAGAAGTGGGAAAGTAAATATAGTTATTGTTAGAATTTGTAATTTATACAACTAATCAAGGAGGTAGCTGTGTACATATAAATTTCTGTGTAATCGTGTGTCTTAATATTTACTAAACTTGTAAAAAGAATTATTTTATAATTAACTTATGCCGTTGTAAATCAGTGTATTTACACTGTTTGACTTTTGGTCTTATGTGACCGTTGGCAGTAAATGACAGTTTATTAATAAACTAATTGTCAATGTAGTGCTTGTATAGAGATGTCATTATACAACCGTATGTATTCCTGTCCTTCTTCGCGTCATTGTTCATTAGTCTAGTGGTCTAGCCGAATAAAGATCCAGCGAAAGTTTGCTTCCTCGTGATTTATTGCCGGGCGTCTATCGCTCCTAAACCTGGCCCCTGTACTATATATCACTTCCTGTATAGCTTGTCCACATAATGAAGATTCTTGCCTATAACTCGTCCCATAAAAGATGGATTTTTGTGTTTGTAAAGAAAATGCAGTTGTTTTGAACTTATGCAAATGTATACTCTTAAAAATATACCTAAATAATTTGAACTTTGGATTTACTCTTGGTATTAAACAATTTTCCTTTGGGAAAAGTGCAGTTAATGTGTTACAAATCTTGTGATTCTAATATATCTTTTAACATTCTTACTGGTTTGTTTGGTGACTTTATGACTGAGGTTTTCTGGGTTATTACTACTAATTGTGCTAGGGGCACAGAAAGAATCAAGGTTGTATTAAGGATTATATAATATGATATAAAATATAAAGAAATAGTGCGAGAAATTAACATTTTTTAAATGTTTAAAACTTACCGTTACATCCGTGATTTGAAACGGGGTCAGGGTGCGGAGGAAACCGGTTTTGTTCGTTGAAAACGCCGTAAAAATGGTTTTACATCTACCTTTTAATTTAGAAAAGAAATTTAACCGTTACATTTAACCTCACATGATTGATTATAACTGAAAGAGATAAGAACAAAATATTTAGAACAATATTAAGGCTACAGTAACAGAAATTAAACCTTGGTTTTACACTAGGGACAGCTCAAGTGGCATTAATTTGGGGCTATAATCATTCAACTAGGCGGAACTACTAATCGTTTTACATTACACATACGTTCTTCGAACAGTGAAAATAATTTGGCATACTGGCAACACTGAATTAAGATTTTTTATGCCACTTATTTTAACATCATGCGATATAATTATATCCAATACAATTATTTTTATACTATAAACACGACGGTGAAGTATGAAACTGTTGACGTTGATGGTTTCATTTAAAAATATAATGGGAATATTGATACAACGAGTTATTCGAGAAAACAACCAATTTGTAAAATTTCATACTTTACACTCAATAATATTTTACTTAATTATGTCTGTAAGCCTAATTCTTAAAAAATACTATTTTGTTATGTCAAAATCATAGCGACACATAATTGATTATTACGTTTCACAATTACAATTAATCACAGTTAATTTTATAACGTGGGATATTTCGCGACGGTCCAGTAAGTGGCACAACTGCTTCCGTGGGATGTAACAATGTCACGTGATGGGGGGCTTTACGGGGAATAACATTCATGCCCTTATCTGATTGGTCTGCAGCTGCCATTGGCTGTCGTAAAAACTCATGCAACCGAGCATTCCGCCGCATATCTTTACGTAAAGCTGGTGGGCCCCCATATTATATATGTAAGCAATCCTGTGGTGGTAGAAAACACTAAGCTTGATATATATATATATTTTAAGTTCTTTAGTGCCACCTTTATTTTTATTCATGGATGTAGCTTTACAAATTTATATTTTTACTACTCTATAATCAGAGATATTTTAAAAAGAATAATAAAAATTACTGAAGTCAATTATTATTTAGTTGAGGTTAAGACTAGGTTTTAGATCTAATGCATTCTTCTCAAAATAAGCAAGCAATTTATGAAGTTCAGAGGTAATTCAATAAACTCGTTCTATAGACAAAAGCTCATTAAATAATCAGATACTACAATTTTTAGAATAATATTAGTAAACCTGTGATACAAATAAATTTCAATCTATCCTAACTGCTTTGTGTATTTATTACTTGAGGGAAAACATGATAGAAATTGGAATAACCCCTAGGATTAAAGTGTTAAACTCAGTTAGAAATTGTTATGTTACCCCTAAGTGAAACACAAACAGGTTTTGAAACTAGTAGCAGCTCACAGTTTTCTAGTTTGTTGGTACATGTTAAAACCAATTCAACAAATGCTATTTAATCACAAAGAAACACATTCTTTTATCGAGCCAATTCCTTGGAAGGTCAGAGCAAAAGAAAACACTACATATTATATAAATGCAACCGTACTCTTTTTAATATCGAATATAAATTCTTAATATTATAAAATTACAAGACAACTTCCATTCTGGAATGTTCTAACTACAAGTCTACATCAACAAATTAAAAATAACAACTATAAAGCCAAATAAATAAAATAATACAAGTAGTAAGCCGTTGGGCACTAATATCGGATCTCGACCCGGACTACCTAGGCGATCTTCATAGACGCTTATAAAAATAACAATTAATTAACACTAGGTATAAAACGATTTTAACACGTCACTCCTCGCAGTCACACAATAAATACGTCACTCGTCCTCTCGTCCGAGGCTCCATCAGTTCAGTTATGTTTACTAGTAAAAAGCGTAAGTATGGAAAGCCGATTCCACATAGACAATGCCTTTTGAAAGACGATAACAAGAAACCAGAGAGGCTCTACGAGTGTCAGTGCTGGCTTTCTTGCGTCGATGGGTTGGGTTTCCTCGGCTTGTCGGTGGCGGGATTGTCCCAAGGCTGCCGCACACCCGAGGCAAAGATGAGGTAGACGGAACTGCAGAGGAAGTAGACACCCGCGGAGATAAAGAACACTTCCCGCCATGCTTCTTGCGTCGGCTGCAACATACAAGATTGTTAGACCTTTATAATGTCAACTACATCTATATCACTAAACTAAAGTTTATTATTATTTTGAACTTCAAGTCAACTTCAATTTCAACTTTGTGAGATGACAATAGACAATAGACAAACCAGATGTTGGTCGCCTTAGTACTAGGGGATAAAATACAGTACATTGTACTACTTAATACATTTGAACTTGAGGATTGTGGGTTTGGCTTTATATAATACATAACGCCGTGAGCCAATGAGCTGTTTCCCCTAGTTGGTTGTAATGTAACAAAATTACAACTTCTCAATATTCTAGCAGGGTTTCCATGTAAGTGCTACCTCTAGTTGTATTTCTAGCTCAGTGCCTCTCACTAGTACTAACATTTTCAGTTGCCTCACGTAACAACAATGTATAAACAATGTTATACAATTGTATAAACAATGTTACGTAAATATAGCCTAACATTTACTGATATCAACAAGAAACTTATGTTGTGTGTGTTGCTACTCTAGTGGTTGTCTCATGAGTTCAACCCTCTTCTAAATTAACTTAATCACAGAGAAGTAAGGTATAGAGGAAACATGCTTATGGGACAATCATGCGCTTTCAGCTCTGGTAATGTTGGAGTGGAAATGAATGGCGAACACTGTGGGGAAATTTCTATTACACAGGCTCACGGTCATCCTCCCCCATAGAAGTACATGAGGACGAGGGGGGCGTAAGGAACTTTGTGGTAGGCACCAGCACTAGTGCCAGACGTCACCTAAGTGTACTATGAAGTGTATCCAAATGAAATAAAAGATAAAAAAAAGGATAAAAAAAGTTTAGACAAAAACTTAAAGAATTTTTGATAGAAAAACCCATCTACTCAATAGATGAACTTTTTATGAATGTATACAGCTATAGATAGTTTTATTTTCTGTATTTTTTGTTTAGGTTAAGTATTTGTACATAGTAATTATAAGCTTGACACTATTTATTGTACGTTTTGTACATACTATAAATAAAGATAATTTGAATTTGAATATCCTTTGTTCCCTACTCCTTTGTGGCTCAACTTAAATTACCACTTTTGAAACTAAACTTACTCTTCCTTGGATGATGTAGCCAGCGATTATCGGCGCCAGTAGACCAGCTAGGTTGGCCATACAGTTGGTGAAGGACATGAGGATCCCGGCAAACCTCGGACTGATGTCCAGATGGTTGACCTTGAACCCAGAGTAGATCCCTCCGTTGAGTCCGACGCCCAACGTCAGAATGGCTACGGTCAGGTACGGGTTACATCCGGTGTAGGAGGCGGCGACTAGAGCGATACCCGGACCATACTGACCTGGAGACATTGAACTGATTAAAACATGTTCAACAAGTCCATAAGCTAAGAGTAAAATCTTTGAATTTGCATTAATTTTAGACATCACTTTCCTGGGGCTGGAATAGTGGTAGTTTATTACACATTATTCTTTTAAGACCATGTTTGATGGACTAGGCAAGAAAAAATCATATGATGTTTTATGAAACAGTCATTTGCTTGTGCACTTACCCTACTATACCTTTATCAACATATATCTTACATGAATTTATCAATTGTTTAATCAATTGATCAAACATTGAGGTAGAGACACCCTATGTGGCGTATTTTAACCCAAATATGAGTAAAGGATGTGTATACAAGTGTGAGATAATCTGTCTAGCTTTGTAACTGACTAAGATCAGCTGTTTCATTAGCTATGACCATTTATTTAAAGTCAAATGATCAGGAATAGCTGGGTCCAGTTTCGAACTAACAAAAAGCTACTTACTTTTCTCAGGATCGAACCGGCGACCTTTTGATTGTTAGGCGAGCATTATTGTTAGGTGTTACACTGGTCTCGTGAAACGTAGTAGGTAATGTTTTAAGGTAGCCACATACTTAAATATATTTAATGTGAAAATATTCTAAAAGGTTTAATTGCGTATAAAAGTTGCTCTGGTAAAAATATGTAACAGCGTTTAACCTGTTTTTAAAAGCAAATAATTACAACAAATTACCATTCTAAATTACCTTTTTGTTAACTGGTCACAAAAAATCTCATAAAAAATGTATTCCAATCAATTTTAACTATGAACAGAATTACTATGGACATAGTAACATTACTACTGTATAGTATTATGTAATTTATAATAGATTTTATTTTTTATTTTGCAATAAATATGGTACTGTTGGTGTAAAATATTTACCATACTATTCTCAATTAGCTATACAGAAGTGAACAATGAACTTGCTTAATTTTGTTTGCTGCAGTTGATCAAACAATCAACAATCCTAGCCTGTGGTTGGAGATGTCACGATGAAATTTGAGTTTTAAAAATATTTTTTACTAGTACTACAAAGTTGTCGTATGAAACATGTTAAAAGGTACTAAAATTTATGACCTCGATAATAATAAGTTCATAGAAATTATAAGTTTCAGTGAATACTGTGCTATTTTATTTAAGAATAGTTATAATATGTGCAGCATTTTATCAACTTACCGATGCCGTTGGCGATTTTCCGCACGACGGTGTGGGAGAACCAACCTTTCTGGATCATTGAATCCGCACAAAAACTTATCAAAATTGACAACATCCACATTGCAAGGTACGGCAACGACGACATGATTCCATTCTGGAAAATTATAAAAGTTTCTGATTATTGTTTTTGTAACAACCAGCAATGATCATAGGAAAAGTAATAATTTAAATTTATATAACATAGAGTAAATGAGCCTTAATTATAAAATCTTTCATGAGAATGATTTCCCAGATGGGAAAGAGCTTTCTCTGGCACAAGAAGAAATACAAAACTTTGGTTTTACAAAACGTTTAAGTTGGAGGGAGGGATGTCTTCATGTCCAATGATGGGCAAGACAATTGAATTAAATATACCTCTCTCCAACGCAAATCTTCTTTCGGAGCAACAAAAGACAATGAGGTTTGGATGGATTAGACATACTTGGCACAAGCAGTAGTGTGAATCTCAGGGGAGTAAGAAAAGAAGAAGGTCATGGGAGACTTGGAAGAGGACAGTGAAGAGAGATAATGGAAGCAGAATATACCCCGCAGGGGGCCCACACTTGCGTGGGTACGTGGCCTAGCGACCACGCGGACCCTAGCTCTCCCAGAGGGGAGGTAATTGCCCGGTGTTTGAACCGGCACTTCAGGTAGGCCACAGTTATGGACGACTGGTAAGCGCCAGCCCCTTAGGGGGAGCCTCCAGTGACACTCCCTTCATTCAGGGTGGTGGGGTGTTTAGCTCTCAGTGATGCCGCTTTTGCCGCCTCTCCTCAACTACCTGTAACTGTGGTTGTGACTGGAGTTCTTCAGGCTCGTCCTACCTGTTGTGTTCGACTGACATTTTGCGAGGCATATCCTCGGCTCTGGAAGTAGCCTCGTCCTGGGAGGTGAAAAACCTAGCCCCCAAAGGGGAGGTAACTGCTCAGTGTTGGTATCGGCTTCTCAAGTAGGCCATAGTCATTATGCCGTAGTAGGCCGTAGTCAGTTATGGACGTCTGGTAAGCGCCAGCCCCTTAGGGGGAGCCTCCAGTGACATTCCTCCATCCAGGTTGGTCGGGTGTTTAGCTCTCGGAGAGGTGGAAGTGCGCCATCAATCTCCCATCTACCTGTGACTATGGTTCTTTGGGCTTCGGCCTGCTTGCTCTGTGCGACCAGCATTCTGTGTGGCATATCCTCGACTTTGGAAGTAGCCTTTCCTGGAGGTGAAATCAGGCAAGTACCCGTCAGCTCACGGGGACACTCTAGGGGAGCGTAACTTTCCACAGTGTGAGGGCAACGGCTGGTCGCACTCCATCAGCCAATCCCTGTCTCTGAGACCGGAAGGTATGGTTATCTAGAGTGTGGGGAGTTCTCCCTGGAACTTCAATGGAGCAAAGGGTGTCGCCACCTGTGGTGGATAGGTTCATCCGGGTGGGACCCACTTCTATTCCTGGCTCCTTTTGGGAAACCCTGTTGGCCTGGCAGTGATGTTGGGCTTGACGGGCAAACGAAGTAGATCAGGTGCTGGGTTCAAAGCCCGCTGGGGGTGTTCAGGGATCTATCGCCTTGGTTACCTCTGGTTTCCCAGCAACTGGGTAAGGCCTCAATCGGGTAGTAGTGTAAATAGGCCCATCAGCTTGCTGGTGGTCCCCTTCTTCCTGGCTTTGATGGCGGGTTCTGCCTGTCAGGGATTGGATAGGTCCCGAGTGTTGCTTGCACTAAATGCGTCAGAGCATTCCACTATGGTCCTTCTGGGTTTCGTACCTGGGGGAACCCAGGTAGAGTGACGCTTAAACAAGTAGCCGGTATCCCTGGTTAGGATAGGATTGAGGGGAAACCCTCTCTCCGAAGGGTTGCTTCGGCAGCCGGTGAGCCTGATGACCTTAAGTCATCCTCCCATGATGTGCCAAAGGTTGGTGCATTAGCTTCGGCCTACATCATGGGGCCCGGGTATGTTTAATTGTAGGTACCGGGTTTGCAGTCAGGGAGCTTCTTGCTCTTATGACAAAACAAAATGGAAATGGAAAAAAAAATGGAAGCAGAATATGACACAGGACAATCCCTCTCATGATATTAAAGGAAAAAGTCAAGCACGTTGATTCACTTGGATGGTTTTTAGTATGCAAAAGAATCTAAATCTATCTTCATAAAGTAAATTGCAACACAACATACCTCTTTGATGTTGAAGTGCAGTATTTGGTTCATGAAGGTTGGCAGCTCCGTCATTAATGTCTCGTAGCCGTAGTTCTGTCCCATGTGAGAGATCAAGATGGCCCAGAATGGAAGAGACTTGACAATGGACATCCACGGCACTGGAGGCGACTGTATGACAAAATTCAACATTGGTTAGAACTACAATGTAGGCGTATTTAAAAATTTTGTTCATAACAAAACTGTAGATAACAACTAAATCGCCTGATAACTGAGAGAGGAATATTGTGATGCTCAAAAATATTTGTTTCAGGTAAATAAAGCTCTACGAACAACTCAATCTAATAGTCAACGGGGTACCGGTCCCTCTTTTTCGGAAAGATAAAAATATTGGCATAAATAGGTACAAATCACATTAAATAGAGGTTACAGCCCTGGCACCCAATTATTTACTAATCGAGCACTGTATTTCAATACTACTGTGTACTGTGTACTCACTGTGTTGTATACTTCAGTATACAGTACAACCCACTACTCCATCACCAGGACCTTGGTCTAATGGTCTGAACAGTGAAAACGTTGGATAATCTGAAGAGCAACATGTTCAGGATTTTGCTGCAATCGTGGGAGAAGATTATGAAGTTTCCGTTACCGGAGGTGACATTAAAGATTTTCTGTGATAACAGGAGACAACAATAATGTTCTTGAGAGTACAGGAGATGTTTAATATTTAGCCGCGATCACCAAAGACGATGATGATTTTGTCCATGACCACGGATTCGTCTAGGATTTAACCGCAAAAAAGAAAGATGCTGTTTCTGTGCTGCAGGAGGTGTTCAATATTTTTCCACGATTAGGCAAGACTATGATAATGTTTTTGTTACCACAGATGATTCCCTAGATTGGCCGTGATCGCGGGGGTGACGCTGATGTTTCCAGGATCACAGAAGACGCTGATGATATTTTTGTAACAGCGAGGGATAAACAAGATTTTTTCCTATGATTGCAGGAGACAGTAACGATCTCTACAATATTGCCGGTAAAATAGAAACGATATTACGGCACATTGTTGCCGATTGGCAATGGCACGGTCTGATTAAGCTAGGAGTCTGACTAGCCAAGGTTGGATTAGTGGGGTTCTACTGTGGTTTGATAAGATTATTACATAAGATTATACATCTAGGTAGTCAGAGGTCCTCAAATTTCTTTTTAAAATGTAAAGATTGTGACTTGGGTTCTATTGACATCAATAACTACAACAATAATTTACAAAATTTATGTTAAAATCCATAAAAGCCTGGGCAAACATAATTAGTAAGCCTCTATGATACTTCCATAGGATTTAAGGGATAAAGGGAACTCCTCTGAAATAAATAAACACCGTTAACAGGATATGTGGGGGAAAAACTAACTACTGTATGATGTATCTACTCCGCTAGCACGTACCGATATCCCTGCAGAGCCCCAAACACTGCTAATTATATACTTCCTCTCGTCTTCCTTGATCTTAGTGCTAGTCTCGGGGTCTTCATCCACCATGAAGAGGAACGCAAGAGACCAGATGGCTCCAACCAGGCCGAAGCAGTAGAAGATGGAGGGCCAGCCTCCGTCAAACCCGTGCTCCGCCAAGTAACCACTCACCGGCATCGAGATCACAGTGCCGAACTGAGCTCCTACGAAATACACAGAGAGTTGAAGTTGACCGCCAAAAACAAGTCTAATACAGTTGAATAGTGAAGTCTCATAAACTTGAAACTTGGGACTTCTTGGTACAAATCAGCTGCTTTGTAATCTAACGCAAATGAACAATAGTATATTACATCACTCAGGCGTAAAGTGACTCTTTTCGACCCGAGCTCAAGTTTAATGACTGAGGCAAAGCAAGGGTCGGAAAACGAGCTAGGGTTGAAACTAGACTTTTTGCCCTTGTGATGAACTATATTTTTTGTCATATTGCAATATTATTAAATAAACTAAGCTAGAATACAAAACTACTTTTCATAAAAAAACATAACAACGTTTAACTGTTTTTAAATTTTGCTAATTTTGCAAATAAGCAGATAGTAAGTAAAGTGATTCAATCATTTTGACTATTGCAATTATGTTAGTATACATTATACTTTCGATATGTCAAACTAGTAACAAGAAGGCAACATAAGCTACGACTGAATGAAACAATTGATACATATTTTTGATACATGTGATTACTTGAGAACCGAGTTAAGAGTTTACAACAGCTGATTTTTATTCCCTAGGGAGAAAAAGAGCTAGGTACTTTAAACCTGCAACACATGTATTAAAAACATCTGTTTTCTGCAGTATGAAAAAAAAAAAAAATTAAACTAGGGCACACAATAAGATGCTGAGAAATCACCTGTTTAGAAAAACAGTACACGGTAACAGCTGTTTAGCTTCCACTTTTTAGGCAACAATGGAAAAATTATATTACCTGCATAAACAAAAGCTCCCATCCTGCTCCTTTCATTCGGAGGGACCCACTTGGCCAGCATAGCATGTGTGCAAGGTACGATCGGTCCCTGAGACATGAACAAAATGTGTTACAGCATTGATTTAGTTATAGCTTGGTTATTGTTTATTTCAAAATAAGTCATTAACAAAAACAAAAAATACCATAGACAAAGACAGCCTCGTAGAGTTATTGTATGTTCATATTATTGCATAGGTTGATATCAAAAAAGGTTTTAGTATTTTTGAAAGTTTGAATTTGTAATCTGTTAGCAAAGACTTTTGGTTTTGGTTAGAGGATCTTGGCTATGGAATCAGCCAGTCAAAGCTTAATTATGACCCGTATCAAGCCTGTGTTTTGATGATACTTGGTTGTGAGCATACTTAAGCTTCATTACTGGTTGAATCAAAAAATTTGAGGTTAAATAAGTGTTTCAGTTGGTAATATCAGTTTTGTTTTTTATTCACAGACACTGGATCTAAAATATATAAAATAGTAAGTCCCAAAAGACAATTTCAATTAATAATTATACTGAACCAAATACAAAATCCAGATTTCAACGTACTGTATAATGTAAAATCTCTATTTCAACAGAAATTATTTTACAACCATCTAGATTGCTGCAAATTGTTTAAATTCACCCACATGGATAATTGATCTACAATCAATAGTGCGTTATTATATGTGATGTAAGACTGTTTTATACTGAAGATTTTGAAACCCACATTATTCTCTTCTGCGTCTTCACCTCATTGTGAAGCACGGGTAGTTAAAAAAAGTTAAAACTTATAAAACTCTCACCTCGCCCAATCCTTGGATGAACCGTACGAGGATGAGCCATTTATAGTCGTGCCTCGCTGCGACAGGGACGAGAAACCCGAACACAGAGTTCACTAACATGCCGACACCGAGAAACATCCGGGCGCCGTACTTCTTGGACAAGATTCCGAACGGGATCTGCGTAAGAACGTAGCCATAGAAGAAGGAGCTGAGGATGTATCCTTGTAGCGTGGTGTCCCAAACAAATTCTCCATCTTGCATAGTCTAGAAAATTTAGTAATTTTATCATTTCTTGAAGACAGAAACAACAATGAATTGAATGACTTTCTGTGTAATGATACACATGAGGACGAGATCAGGGGTTGGAAAATTCCCGTGTGAATGTAAAAAAATGTTAAATAGAAAAATAAGGAGGAACTTTTGGTTGAAAAGCTTAAATGTCAAGAGTAAAGTGAAATATAAATAGAATACACAAAATGTTATGTGGCTGAAATTAGGATGCAAAGAAAATTGTAATGCTGTATTTTTCAAATTGGATGAACTACAAAAAAAAGTTTAGTTAGTAAGTTTAGTTTGGCAGATTATGTTCCAGTGCTTACCGCATGATGTGTGCCATTGTTCAACGTTGGGCCAGACCCGCACTCATCCACCACTACTGCCGGATGCTTGGGCAGCGCTGTGTGGTTCACCATAGCCACAATGGCCACGCTCATGTTGGTCCTCATAACATAGGCGTTGGCCATCCCTAGGAACAGCATAGCCGTCACCACGTGCCTCAAACCTACGCATCCTGCAACAAAGGGCCATCATTGTAACAACAGACAACACTGAAGAATAGGTTGATAGCCGAGCAGATTGTCCTATCGCAAACAGACTTGGTCCTAAAGAAGTTAAAGAGATGAATGTTGGATGAGGTTATGAATCAAGACTAGACGATTCTTTAGCAGGATGATTTATTGAAATCTTTATTGAAGACAGCTGGGCCAGTGATCAAGTTGACCTTCTAAACTTGCTAAAAAATAAATTAAAAAATTCATTACATAAGCTTTGAGACTTCTGTGCAATCACAATGATGACATATAAGTGAACAATAACTCTGTAGGTAATCTATTGAGTCTTCCGTTTCTTGTATCCAGTCCATCTAAGGCCTCCTCTGAAATTCCTAGATGAAATTATTGTGATATAAATTGTAAGATTTCATCAGTTTGCATTCCTTGCAGGTTCTTTTCATGTCCAGCTGAACAATCCTATTTTGCAGAATCAAAGGCAAAAGATTTTTGATCCGAAAGAGTTGTAGTACTTGTGATTTATTAACAGGTGTCCGTCCGATTCCTACTGATAACTAAAGCCCTGTAAAAAGTGAAGGTCTAAAGCTAAATAGGATATTTAAACATCCATCAGGACATAATTTGCCTGAGGGTAGAATATGTGATTCAGTACTAAAAATCATAGTTTTCATCGGTTATAATACTTTTTGGACAACCTTTGTTAAAAACTTGTTCTGTAAAAGAACGACAAGTTAAAAATAGATCCCTCAACGTTCTAAAAACCAACTGACTAAATCTCACATTATGACAATTTCTCTCCTAAATAACTCAGCCACGCAATGAAATCCCCTAGAACAAGAGAATTTAATCCTCATTAGACATCAAGGAAACATAGAATGACTGAATAATATGGCGCAAAGAACGCTGTATAATAATCGGAATTGCATCTTGATCCTATGAAAAGTTTGAAGCGCTTTTGGAAGGTTCAAAACTGGACCCAGCTGTCCTTGTGCATTTGGCTTTTGATAGAAGACCTTGAATGAAGAATCAGCTAATATTTTACCAATCCAATCCAACACTCCTGTTTATTCTTACAGGTCTAAATTTGCAAAACCTGTATCACCATTTCAAGTAGCGTAAAAGAACCAAAATACTGTTAGAGCCCATTTTTATTATCGACCTCCCATATGGAGGATGAAATAAAATAAAAATAATTATCATCTGCTATTAAATCGAATATTTGTTCGTCTGGGTTTTTTGGAATACCACTTAAACATACATTCTTAAAATCAGGTTAAATTGCCAATTTTGATCTCAAGACAAATCTCTGCACAGTTTTTTACAAGAGCTTCTCAAAATTTAAGATGCCTGAAATTCTGGATTTTTGGTTGCTCCTAAACAAAGGAAAGCTACTGTGATAGGGTAATATATTTTTACTTTTCATACAGATCAAATTCAATGCTGTGAAATCACAATTTCCTAAAAGTACTCACTAATTTTAAAGTCTTTCTGAAATAAAGTGTTAAAAAATCAAGCAATAATTGTATTTACCTAAACAGAGAATAATAAGATCCTACGTGATTACCGAACCAACTTTTAAAGTTAATGCCTCAATAAGGAAAAATAAATTAAGTGCTGCTAAGGTGTTGTAAGATCTCTTTATTCTCTTAAAAAAAAACAACCCCCCTTCCATTCCTTTTGTACAAAATATTTACTTATGTTTTAAATTGCTTTTAGGTATATTGTATTTTTTTAATGGTGTAATATTTACATGTTCCTTAAATGTGTTGCTTCTGGAGGATGAGCTTTTGTAAATGTTTAATAAAATTTATTGTTGGCATTTAATATGATGGAATATTAATTAACATTTGTAGTTTTAGTATTATCCGTGTATGAAATGCACTTTTATCATGAACTACTGTTAGTTGTTGGGTAATTTAAGATATTATTAAATAAGTAATAGATTATTTAAAATATGCTCGTCTCTTATATTTCATATGGAGGGATTTTTTTATTAATTTTTGAGAGAAAACCTATACTAATTTGCTTATTATTATCTCACTGGTACTTCACTATATAGCCTACTCGTTAAAGACTTATAAAAATACCCATGCCACAGCAAACCTGCACACTTATTCGATTTACATTTATCTGATAGGATTTAGACTAAAATATTCTCTTTAACCTGCCAGATTTATTCCCTATTATCATTGGATGTAATGAGTACCTAGGTTCGTTGCCACAGGAAAGGAACCCGTGTTTTGTTGTCAAATGTTAAAATTATCCTGTGGTATGAAATAATTAAAATTTCCAGATTTTATCTAAACAATAATCCATAAACAAGCAAACTACGACAGTTTATTTATATTCCATAAAAATAACAAAATTTACAGTTTTTTTTTATTTTCTCCATAATAAATAGAGGTACAACAACGCTTCAATATACTAAATTATTTGCTTTAAAGATCTACAAAATTATCTAGAAAAAAATTCCAAAATAGCTGCTGCTTGGCAATCAAAAAATTGACTGTAATGCTTGGAAAAGAAAATAAAAATAACTATTGCCTGCATTCAAATTAAACCAATGTAATAGGCTCTACAAAATTAATACAAATTATTTCAGGTTCCAAAGAAGGATAATGAAAGAAGCTTTTTACTTGATAAAAATTCATTACACTTTGAATTTTGGCTAAACTAAAATCTAAATGCAATTATGAGATAGTTTAACATGCGATTTCAAACAAGATGGCGGTGAAGCTGGTCCGAAGTACTTACACGATCAAACTATCTCCTTTGCGTAATGTTGTCCACAAGAACGGCCCTAGGAAAATAAAAAGGAATTCATGAGATACAAATGAATAGCTAACGATTTCAAAATTGTGAAAAGTATAGCTAAGTATTGTCGTAAAACAATGGGCAAAGGTTTGTTCCTCATAGATAGTAATATTTAGGAACTTTCTAATTTGTTTATATTATCATAGGTAATAGCAACTTGTTATTATTTTCAATGGTTTGAATAAATAGTTAAATTGATTTTTATTGTGCTCCATTTGTAAAATCTGTTGAAAATTAATTTCTAATCCAAAATATTACCGTAACTTAGTAAAACTAGTTTACAATGTACAAAGTGGTTGGAACCGGAAAAACATGTGGTTCTACCATTTGTAAGAACTGCCTGTATTTGCTGTGGAAGTACACAACAAAACTCATTTGAAATTACTTTATCAATTTAAAAATAATGTGAGCAAACATTTATTTCCACTTTTGTATGAATCGAAGTTGCTTGGCTAGAAATGAAATCTGAATACTTCCAGAATTATGATTTCTTACCCTATGATGTTTAGAAGTTTGAATTGAATGTGTGTTTGCATTTCCTGTGATGAATTTTCTCAAACAAATTAGCTAGCCTAAATTCTAAAGCTCAATTCAAAATGTATCAAGTCCTAAACTATACATTACACAGGGCCTACAAATGAAAGATTCCAAAGCACCTGTAAATAAATAAATGAAAATTTCAATGCTGAAACCAATCAAGAAATGGTAATCCATATTTTGCCATAATTAACCATTTAATTGCTTCTCAAACTCTTTAAACCTTTGTCTCACATACCTAATTAGTTCATATATTTAGACACATACACAATCTAGGCCTAAACAGATTTAGATAACAGAATCAAATTAGTTGAAGGTTATAAACCTCTTAAATCCATTTTAGATAAAGGTACTACAGTACAGTACTTGAATATGGAATATGTGGGCAAACCAAAATAAGGGTTTCACTTTTAAAACTTAAAAAGTTTTTTGTTTTAATTAGATGTGCAAAAATTAGGGATTTTATATACAATGTAAAAAGTATTTAAACTTCCACAAAGCATCATTATTTGTTTTAATATTTGTATAAAAAAAAATTAAAAAACATACAGTATTTATTACAAGTCCCAATTTTTTTCTTGATATTAAAGCAGAAAAGGGACATTTTTAAATTACCTGGTTTGTGCAAATATTAAAATTACATCATAAAAGTAGGATAGATTAAATTTTTAACTGTTAATCAATACAAAAAAAAATCTGTATTCTAACAGTTATAATTCAAAAATTAATTCAGATTGGAAAAATAATTTATTCTACCTACTTTATTATTGCAACATCATCATATTTTACTATTTTCTAACATTGAAAAAGCGAAAACAGCAAAATCACATCCGAATAAGCATTGATTTACATTGTGAGCACAAATGTCAACATTTGGCCAATCTAACCTCAAAAACAGCACAATCACATCGGAAAAAGCATTGATTAACATTATGAAAACGCTAATGTTTTCACAAACCTAACTTTGAAAACAGCAAAATCATGTTCTAAAATGAATTACGGTAGTTTATTTGTTATAATGAACTGAGCAACAGTCTCGTGTTTTCGCAATTCTAACCTCGAAAACAGCAAATTCGCACTCGCGCCGCTTGTCAAGTATGAAGAGCGACCGCCGGAAGTGCGAATCTACCGCAGAGCGACTTCCGGCTCCACTACACAGAGTAATGTCGGAAAATTGGTCAATTAATCACCTGATTTACATATCCACCATCTCTAATGTCAGTTAAAAAACATCCATTAAACCAAATGGAGGTTGGTAGTAGTTGATCTACCTACAATTTATTAGCAATATGTCTGTAGGCCTATCAGTTTACAAGTTTTAAGAACAAATATAAGCCTACCTAAAACAAAAGATTATCATGACTACTTCGTCCAACAACAAACCAACACTTGCAATTGTTTTGAAAGTATAACGATTTTGTTTGTCACATTTAAAAGATTTGTCATTGATTTAAGTTTTTTGTTTGTTTTCGCTAACCTATTGGTTTTGCAGTGAATGCTTGTTATTGATTTTGTTTTGTAAATAAAACACTTTTTATCAATGTTATTCAGGAAGTAATCAAACAGTCTTGACAACTCTATGAGATTTAGAAACAAAGAATCCTTTATAAAACATGTTGGACCTCAAAACCGCCTCTTACGGTTATCAACA